GACGGAATGATCGGAGCTGATGGTGAGAAAAAAAAATCTCCACTTTTACCACAAGAGGGCCCAGTTTATGGAGGCTTCAGATAAATCTGCAGACATGTTGAAATCTCAAAAACCTTCTTCCTCTTTGTCTCCCTGCAGAGTTCGCTGCCTTGGTCAAGGGTTAAATGAATACGCTGACCAACATCTTACTTCACTACTCTAAAGGAACAACTTGAGCCAAGACATACCCCTCCTCTCTTCTCCTTTTCCCTCTCACTCTCTCTCTCTTTATCTCCCCCTCCCACTTTTATACACCTTTCACCCCCTCCCTCCGCAAACAAACTGCCACCCGCTTCCTCCTCTCACTCTCTCTCTCTCTGACCGTGCTCACCCCTTTGCTGTCCACAATGAATGTACCTGACTAAGTGTATAGCGTGGTTGACTTGTGTCTTTCTCTCTCTCTCTCACTTCTGTCGTCGTTTTACTATGTGAGTTTTGCTTACCGTGAGATCAAATAATGCACTTTTATGGGAAACGGACGGACGATGAGAAAACAATAAAGGTTCTTTTTCAATAACACAAGTCTGACCCTGGTCTTCAGTATGGCTGTAAAAGAGCTGAAAGAAAGTCATAACGGATTTTTTTGACAGTTAAAGGTAACATACCAACAGTCTAAGTATTGGTCTTAACTATTAGTTTTTTACACTAAACAAGATTATTTACATGGTTGGTCTGGGATAGGAAACACATTTTACATAAATCTGACTATTTTATTAGATAAATCCACTAAATTATCACATTAGAGCAAGTGATTTCATCCAAAACTGTGTCTTTTAAGGAATCTCATGTATTAAAAATGCATTTTTAATGACTTGGAGGCCATCGATGTCAAATCATGATAAATCCTTTCACTTAAAGCTTGATCATGTAAAGTGACAGTGGTACTAAATGCAAAACCTTCAGCTAAAATCTCATGTAACAGCAGCACATGTGAGGAAGAGTCATAAAGTCAGCAAAATGTCTCAGTAATGTAGATAATACAGCAATAGATACCTAATGTTTAGCTCAGCGATTCTCAACCAGTGGGCTGCCATCTAGTGGGCCCTGGAGGCAGTTGTACTGTCAAATGGTTAGATTAAAATGATAAAACTAGTTATTTTTATATCTAAATGTGCTCAAGAATTCACATTAATAAAACATGTAAAATTTAAATGCATAATTTTAATGACCACTTACATTTGAAAATCACCATTCATGACACATCATTCATGTATCAGGATGATGGTGGACATGAGTGTCTGTGACTGTGCCAAATGTCATGGCAATCAATAACAGTTGTCCAGACATTTCATTTGAAACCACATGCTTATCTCAAAGTCCGAGGATCACCAAAGTCAGTAGGATTCACCCTCTGGGAACGATGAATGTCTGTAAACAAATTTGAGCCAATCCACTGCACAGATGTTCAGATGACTCTGACTTGCTGATGGTGCTACAGGATAGGTCAGGGGCTCACAAAAGTTTTTACATGTAATCCTTGAGGGGACAGGAATCTCATGACAATCTGTCCAAAAGTTGTTGAGAGATTTAAGTCTGGTCCAAAGTGGTGGAGCGACAGATCAACAGTGCCAGCCCAGACATGCCACTATGGCTACAAATACACGACTTAAACAAGTGAACCCAAAAATTCATTGTAATTACAATATGTTAAGGACATTTCTTCTTATTAAATTGGTTAAAGACAAACATGTTTACCTATCGACTGATCTAGTCATTAACATATACGTGTAATCAGGAGTATATTCTGTCCCTCTTATGACGAGAGACCTTTCCTTTCATCATTAGTGTGACCTTTCATTGAGATCTTTTTTTACTTTTTCCTGAGAAATTCAGCATGAGTAAAGTAACTTCTGTTATAATAATATAATGATGGGTCAGGACAGCGAAATAAGAACAGACAAGAGGAAAATGAGAAGGGCATGAATGATTACCTTGGTCTGAAACTAAAACCCTGGCTATGTAAAAATTCACAGGACAAGTTTCCATAGAGATTTAGCAGACTCTCAAACAGACCATCCTTCTCATTACACAATACTTGTGTGTGTTAATTGTGCAGCTGTTTTGATCTTTCACATCATGTTGCTATGGGAAGGCAGGAGAGGACAGGACAGAGTGTTCTTGAGACTGACAGGCCTCTCATCTCCCAGCAGCCTCTGCTCTCAAGCTCCCTGTCCTGAAAAACTGTTGTGGTGGCCTGCAGGCTGTTAAATCGAGAAGCCTTTCTTTTGCCTGTGTTTTTATTTCATTTAAATAGGGTTAGGTTTGTGATTTATTGTCTGTGCAAGTAGGTAAGAGCCAGAAGTTTGCCTAGTTTCTTCCACAAGGCACCAGCAAGACTCTGCTTCCTGTGCTCCTTCTTGTGTTGCCTGTGTCTGTCTTATGCTAGAAGCAATGCAACTAGAGTTAGACAAATAATGTGACTTGACTGATATTGTTCTTTTATTAAATAAAAGCAACACACTGCAGTGGCCAATTTATTTTTTTCTTTTTTGGCCCAAACCATGTATGTTTTATGTTAACTCTCCAAAGGTTTTAGTAAGTTTGATTTCTTTCCTTCTAGAAAGTCTGTAGTTTATGTCAATGCAGTATCAATGTACTGGCAGCAACTTAAGGTATATATATGCAATCCATTGCACTGAAAATTATAACACATCCTTAAAAAGTTCCAGCAGGGAGAGTTTTTAGGATTAGTATATAGTATCATACAATTATGGAGTAACTATGAGAAATAATAATAATAACAAAGAAAACAAATAGTTCACTGTGATGGTTTATTTATTTAAAGCAAGCTGAAGTCAATTCGATTTTAGTACAACTGTCTACACCCAAGAAAACTAACAGCACACTTTGGGAAATGGTCTGCAAATATGGAAAATATGTGTAACAAAACATGCCTGCCCCAAACATTTAAGTGTTTTTAGTATTAACTGATACAGACCTACAAAACCCATGTCTGTGAGTCAGGAAACAGACACACTTGTTAGAGCCAATGCAATGATGCATTTTTCAATCAAAGATCCCAGAGTTTAGAATATGTACAGTGGGTTACCCAGCCTGAAAGAGCTGCTAACATGGAAATGATTGTGTTAGTCTGGAGATTTCTGCAGAGGTTAAAGAAAAGAAACTGAGGGAAAATACTTTTCCTTTTGTTTTTGGCTTTAAAAAGGTCAAAGTTAATTTGATCAGGTGTTCTAAAATGTCATGGAACTCACATTGAACCCAAATGTTAGAGGTACAGGTTTTGAATTACCATTAATGGCAACATAGAGATGTCTTTTAACATTTTAAGCAATTACACTCACTTTCATTCACTTTCTTTCTTTTACTCACTCATTTCTTCCTACGTGCCCTCCTTACCCATTTCTGTCTCTCGGTACAGTTGACAGGACATCCAGATGGATGTCCAGCTGGTTGCAGACAAAATAAATGGCCCCACAACGCAGAGGGGGTCCCTGCGTCAGTTCTCATGGCAATCCTTCAACCTCTCTACTCATCATGGTCTCCCACACGTCTACAAATTTCCCTTTGTCAGCATGCAGCCTATGTTGCGTAAGCCAGAAAATATCTCCCATCAGACAGAACAGGTCATGGGAATCCTAAAATGTTTTATCACAACAACAGCCATTAGACACAGTGGGATGTTTTATGTAGAAATCACTGAAACTCCCATTTCTCAGTCTCCATCCAAGAGTGGCAGTATTATGACAGTGTACTCGGAATTAACACAAGGATTATGGATTTAACAGCAGTGTTGTCACAGACTGTGTAAAAGTTTGTTCCACAGATTTTGGATTTAGTCCATCAGAGAAATGGTATTATTTTATAAAAGATAGATTCTAAATTTGTTTGTTATCTTTGTTTTAAGGTCCATGCAAAGTCTACTCAGGTTTACACAGATTGGAACAAAGCTATCTGAGTGACTTTATGCAAATATTAACGGTAATGAAGTATTCATAAGTATTCATATATTGTAAACTGTGGTGCGTTTTCTCCTTTATATTATGTCTTTACTTTATTTTCTCTACTCAAAATAGGTTAACAAAAACTACAAGACCCAGTTTTTTTTTGGTTTCGTCAAGTTTGCCAGAGAAAACCAGACCACCGAAACCTTTTGCTTTCAAAATAAAACATCTCAATTCACTTTTCAAAAGAAGTCAGAATCAGAGTCAGAAATACTTTATTGATCCCCGGGATCAATAAAGTAAAGTTCTTTAACACATGTTAAAGAATAGAAATAATACTTGTATTACAATATCTAACACAATATACAGAATAGAAATATATGTAAAGGTATAGGCATATAAGTAAAAGTAAAAATAAAAATGGAATTAGAAATAGAGCCTTAGAGATATAATAAGATAATAAGAACCTATATAGAAAGTAAATGTAAACATATTCCACAGTATGTGGTGACAGAAATGAAATAGTAATGAATTTAAGAGTGTGGTGTTGTAGAAGTTATAGATGATTACAAGGAAGGGTTGAATAATTAGAAGAATAGCATAATAAAGTGTATTGCACATTGACTCAGGTATTACACCTTAATCGACTTATTGCACATTAACAGCACCAGTTTAATGACTAATGACTCAGAGTTTTGACACTGAGGGAGGAGGTGTACAATTTGATGGCCACAGGCAGGAATGACTTCCTGAGCCGCTCTGTGAATGCATCTCTGAGTCTCGCACTGAAGAACTCCTTCATCATTTTCTGAAACAATAATATATTTTTTGTAAGTTCCATACCTAATGGGGGTTAGGTTTTCTACAGAAATAGCGCACATAACAAAGGTACAGCCTGTTTAAATATCTATAGATTCATGAATTTACATTGATGTTGAGGGTTGGCAGCAATGGCGCGAACATAGCTTTTATTTTGACAATACCTCTCGGATGTCCCACGTCTTATTTCTGCAGCTTCCCGTGGCTGATCTCTGAGTTTGTGGGCGTCTGGGGCGGAGCGTGCTCGGTTGGTAACGGAGAGACAAAGCCGAGGCAACAGCGGACACGGACGGACGCCCTCGCTCGTCTTCACTTCGTGTCTAACGCTTGTTTCCAAATGGCAACGACAGCGGACGACCTGCGGGAACCGGCGGACGTCGCTGCGCTGTCGCCGCACCACGACTGCCGCCACCACAACAGCAACAACAACAACAACAATAACAACAACAACAAAGACAGCGAGGCGGGCGAGAGCGCGACCTCCGCCACCGCCAGCGCGACGGAACCCGGCGGGACGGCGTCGCAGAGCATCGGTAACGGCTCAGTCATCAACCCGACCGGCGGGAATAACGGGAAGTGGGTCCGGCTGAACGTCGGTGGCACGGTGTTCCTCACGACGCGGCAGACCCTCCTCAAGGAGCAAACTTCGTTCCTGTACCGGCTGTGCCAACAGCAAGACCTGCACTCAGACACGGTGAGTCCGGTTCCCGGTGAACGTTACTTCACAACGAGCGAAAAATAAACATCACTTCGTTGTAACGTAAAGGCTTGGTATGTGTATGTGGCACTTAGCTAACGTTAGTAGTAACGTTAGTCAGCTAAGTTAACGTAGACCTTCTTCAACACGATTGACTTTGGAAACGCTTCAGTGTTTCTAAGTTAAAGTTTTGTTATGACATTTATTATTTTCTCTTAATTAGCCTTAATAGTCTTAATATTCCTCTCTCTCACACACACACACACACACACACACACACACACACACACACACAGCGACATTAAAGAGTAACTGGTGAAAAACCACGATAACATTTTCTAACATTCCTGTAGTGACTCATGTCGCCCTCAGTGGTGAGTGTACATTGGTGTGTCTTTCACCCCGTCATAACGTTGTTATACCCTGACAGATGGTTAAGGTTTACCAGTTTGGTTGAAGCAGGAGACATGCATTGGTTTTAATCCCCACAGAATATATGATGGTGGTTTACATAGCGGAGGTATGAAAGCTGGATTTACTCCAACCTGACTACAGGGTTTGGCTAAAATATGTGTGCAGGTCTTGGCTTGAAGTAAAGCCTGCTGTTGGCCTTGCTGATAGAAAATCAGTAATATACCAACTAGAGACTGCATCGTTAAATAATTGTTGAATTGTGCACTACTTTTGTCTCCTGAGGTATCACAGTAGCCTTAAATGGACCAACTATATAACTGTGTTATGTGTGTGCAGTTCCCAGAACCTATTACTACAACTCTGTTCTGGCCCGGAAATGTTGTCTTATTACCAGCTGATGTACTGTATATGAGCAGTATAGCAGTGTATGTGTGCCTTAGCATCGTTTTGTGGTGTGAATGTAGCTTGGGTCAGATGGATGAACACGTGCCTCCTCTTCTGCAGGGAGCTGCACAGTCAGTAGCTGTACAGCTGGCATCTTATGGAGAGAGAGAGAGAGAGAGAGAGAGAGAGAGAGAGATGTATTGTGTGTCTTCCAGTCACATGTAGACTGAACACACTGTAAGGGCTGGCTGTAAAGTCTCATGAATGATGCAGATTTCTATTATCTTGCAGCCTTTGATATGCTTGTGTGTGTGTGTGACAGAGAGAGAAGGGGGTATAGGTCTTCCTTTCAGCCTGCAGTCTACTGTAAGTTGACGTGTTTTTTGCTCTCAGGTAAATATTATACAGCAGTATCAATTTATATGGATTGTTTTGTACCATATTATGCCTTTCATAGCTGACAATGGCAAAAATGTACTAGTCAAATGTAAACATTTCTGGCTTTCTCACACTTTTACAATAGTAAACTGAATATAGGACATCTGAAGACGTCACCACGAGCATTGGGATCACTGCTTGCTGATATTTTATAGATTTAAAAGGCGAGAAATTAATTGTTGGATTAGTCGATCATAAAATGATAATTAATTGCAGTCCTAGTCAAGTCATTTATATTTATATAGCCCAGCATTAGAAATCACACATTTTCTGCACAGCATATGACACCCTCTGTCCTTTGACCTTGATTCGGATAAGGAAGAACTCCAAGAAGAAACTTAAACAAGGGAAAAATCTAAGAAACGACAGAGCAAGAGAGGAGGGGATGCCTCTTTTGATAACCAATTCAAGAACTTATGGATATAACAGAATGTCTTTTCACTTTAAATGGAATATATAAAGATAAAGATTAAAAGATAATTTGTCACATTTCTGCAAAACGCCATTACTGCTGTAAAACACTGCTGTTCATTGATTTACAGCATCGCCCATAATGGTCTAAATACTACTGAACCACAGTACAAACGGCTGGAAGAATATCTGACAGTGAAAAAATGTATATAATCACAAAATATACATTGTCTTTTCGCCAAAAGACTTATCAGCCCATGTTAACTGTCAACACCGTGTGGTTAAGTTGTGTTGTTCAGTGGAGGGTCTCAAACATTGTCACATGTCTATGGGTTGCAGAAGAGCAGGTCTTCCTACAGCTAAAATGACTACGCCAAAAAACAACCACCAAAATTGGAGCTGGGAGGTTTTTACCCAGCAGCAGTGATGACTGTTCCCCTGCTGCACCACTCGGCTCTGTGGAAAGAATATTCCCATGTGACCTTCAGCCGCGACCTGTCAAGAGCTCCCTCTGCACTGCCTTAAGACACACAGTCACACACCAAATCTCTCACATAGGCACAAACACACACCTACATCTCTTTCTTTATTTCCTTCCCTCAATGCCGCTCTTTCGTCATCGTCCTGTCCTCTGCTCATCCTCGTACTCAGAAGCTGACTCACTGTAAATGCTTATCGCACGTTTGTCCTTTCTCGTCTGCATCTTTTATTGCGGCTCTTTATCACTAACTATTAAATCTCGAGAGACGTGGTGCTGAGCTGTAGGCGAGTCTCTGAATCCTCTGTGAGGTGTGACCTATGAACATGATGGTTGGGAAGTGCAGAGCTGCTTTTTGTCAGGCATCTAACACGGCCATCTGTGTCAGTATTTAGTGTATGTACATTAATGGATTCCACACAAGAGAAAGACTTACCAGAGAGAGACATGTTTCAGTTTTTTATAAGGGGTTTGTTGAGTTGGTAGTAAAGATATGTATCCTCTGTTTTTAGGATCCTTCGCATTGTACCCAGAGATTCAGATTTTTAAGTCGAGAATGAAACACCGGTCACAGGAGGATTAAGAATTTTACAGATCAAGAATATATTTGCAGCTGAGGTCGTCAGATATATGCAGAGCTGCAGTCCAGTAGCCAAAGGAAAATGTCATTTGGTTAGATAGTCACATGCTTCTAATTAATTCTGTTGCAAGTCACAAGAATAATTACAGTAGAAATGTGAAATCACAAGGAAAAGGTTTTTAAAATTAGTTTTTATTCAGCGGTTTTACCCTCAGAAGCTTCATGGTGAATGCAAACAATGTTTCTTTGAATCAGTAACACCCACTGATTTTGACAGCTGGGAATCCACACAAGCATGAATGATACAACAGATTGGATGCACAGTTAACCGGGGGGAAATATCTCATTCATTAAATTATCATTTTCCAAGTTAATTCAGTTTATTCCTCTCAGCTTGTCAAACTAGCAAAGATGTATACATAACACATGAAAGTTACAGTACAAGCTATGTTGAGCCATATCATAACATCAGCTGACTACAAACATCAGACCACTGCAGATAGCTCTGTAATGGTGCCTACATAACAATAATGGTGCAAGAACGGCAGATCACTCTGCAGATGATATTGCTCAGTTTTTTCTTCAGTGCTTTATAGCAGAAGTGGGTCACCTTGCCTTAAATAAAGACCACCTCCACTAAAATCCTAAAAAGTGAATACACAAAAAAAGAAAAAGAGCTATTGTTGCTTTTGTTCAGGCCGTCATCTATTAACTAAATGAATCAAGAGACCAGATGAATCAGGATCTGGGTGGCACACCACATCTGCTAAACAATTTACAGAACCAACCCTGTTAATGACTTCTTGCAATGTTTCCTTGTACTATTATGGATAGAGCCGTGTATTGGGAAGAACCTGGTGATACGATGCATATCACCATAGAGAAAAGAAGAAGAGTAGTGGGATCTGCCTTTTATTTATCACAGTCCCTGTAACATCCAACATCATAGCCCTGCTATCTAACACTTGGGGGTTTAAACACAAGTAGTGTTGAGAGTGTTTTTGAGAATTGATACAATAACACAAAACAAAATATCATGATACTGAAGTGTATCTGTATTTTCTCATGGAATAAATCAACTAAAAACAATGCAAAATGGTGTCTCTGAAGGGGCTCAGTGAGCCAGCATAGTGTTTTTCCCAGCAGACACCAGGCTGAAACCAGCCTCTGCTCGGGTTGTTTAGTACACAGAGAAGCAGTTCAGCCTGTGTGTTTTCGTGTCTCGCTCAGTGGAGAAGCTGATTTTTATCCGTGCTGGAGTCCCCCTCTAATCCGCTGACGTTAGCGCGTTCTTGCTCAGGGGTTCTTGGCTGTTTTTAAACCCACATACACACAGGCTGTCTGGCTGTGTGTGCCCGTTTTAATGAGATTACCAGAACCTCAGCTACCCTGCCCCCACACCAAACCAAACCCAGAGCTATCTTCCGTTAATACAACCCAAGCTGACCTCAAGCCATCCCAAGCCAATTACGTTTGGCTGAGATTCAGCTCTGATGATGCTAGATGATGTTAGCTAAACAGGTGTAATAAGGCGGCCAGTTGCAGACTATAACTACGTAATCGTATTACCACAGATTTGTGATTATCAATGGTTTAATTCAAATTAAGTACCAGGGGGATAACACAAGTGAGTTTTGATGGCCTGATGCTGTAATGTGGGTTATCTGTACACATTTCATTTTGTTTAAAACTCTGTGGGAGTCTTGGTCCCATCTCACAGTGTCAGCATGGATTCCACCACATGCCTGGACTCACTTCATCACTTTATCTGTGCACTGAGATGTCGAACATGAGGCGTTGGCAGGGACTAGAAAACATGAAGAATAATGCTAGGGCTTTTCTTGGAATAAACTGTTGAGAGTTGTGTGGACCTGTCCCATGTCTACCATCAGAATATCCCCAAACCTTTCTTATTTATCACTAAGGGTGCTCCGATCAGGGTTTTGAGGCTGCCACAAATCACTGATCACATGGTCTATTTAAAGCCTTACATTTATAGTGTACACACAATGTGTGCCCCACCCTTCCTCTCTCTGCTCCCTTCTCCATTTACAGGCTGTATGTGTCTGCTCCGTTACTTTGTTGGTCAGCAGTAAGTTTTAGAAAGTAAGAAGCACAACTCACGTTTTTAATTTTTCACACGATTCTGTTTTCACAGCAGCAGGTGAGCTGCACATTAATGAGGAGGCTCGTGAAGGACGTTGCCCATTAAAACAAAATTATTGCTTTACCTGCTCCATTGCTAAACATCCACCAGATAACGTCTCTCACTCTGTTGCTCTGTAAAATGCT